CAAGCATTTGTAGTAGGAGAAAGCATTTTAAAATACAGTAACTCCCGTTTGGGCACATGTATCAGGACCAGATTTTCCAAAACATTTATCAGTAGAGTTCCTATTATAACACCTGTTAAAATTTGTAGTGACTTTAGCCATCAGCTTGCTTACTTTCAAAAATGTGTAGGTGTAATAAATTCCTTCTCTGAAGCATAAATATCTACAGCTAAGAATAAGCGAACTCTTATAGAGCAGTGTTTTTTTTTGTTTTGTTTTTTTTGTGTGTGTGTGTGTGAATGAAATAATTTTCCTGTTCTTATATTCTCCCCCTCACATGGAAATGCCTGAAACTACAATAAAACTTCCATGTCCACTGGGATAAATAGGATTCAAGTAGATAATGTAAGAGTAGTTATGTATCATCTATTTTAGGTGAAGCAGGGAGATGGGAGACCTACTTCCCTAGTCAAGTGTTTCTGTCGCTTTCATTAATGTCAGAGTAACCAAAATTAATGACCCCAGGATACTCTTAGTAGAAGTTCTACAAGAATAAAAACTTGTTTATTTATTGTTAAATGAAAAAAAAAACAAACAAGCAAACAAAAAAAAACAAACAAAACAAAAACAACAAAAACATTTCTGAAGCTACTAGTTGATAATACAAATAACACTTATTGAAAAGTGTTTTTGTTTTTTAAGTTTTGCTAAAATGTCACAGCGCATAGCTTTTTAAAAAGATTTTAAAATAAAAACTTCAGGAAGATAACTGGATTATGCATAACATTCAATAAATAACATCCAATAAAATGGTTCAAAAAGCATTTACTTTAAATAGGGAAAGGTAGTCATGAGGAAACTAAACTGGAGATATTTTCTCTGTTTCTTCAGTTATAAAGCATATCTTAAAACTAGGAAAATGTGAAGTGTATCAAATGAAAGGAACTATGTTAGAGTTTAATTTTCAATATCACTGATTGAAAAAAAAAAGCACAGATAACATTTAATCTTAAATTTTAAAAAACAGCATGATTCACAATTTTCCTTTTAATATTTATCAGACTAGATTGGTATGACTTTATACACTTAAATGTGTTTTTTTTTTGTTGTTGTTCTTTAATGTAAACTAGAGCTCATATGAAAGAATGCCCTAAGTGTGTAAGTATAATTAGTCTGGCTATTATGAACCAAATCCTTCATAATCCTAGTGCATACAGAGACCAAAGGAGACTGGATTTGTTTGTCTCTGTAACTCCTGAAATAGAGCTAATTTGCAATGGTTACGCTAATTTAGCTTATCTATAAAATGAGCACATATTACAAGTGTTGTTTTATAGTTTTAATATGCTGTTATTAATTTTGTAGTTAATTTAAAGACTTTGGCACTAATTGATGCTCACTGTCCTCCTATCTCCCTGAGCAAAATACCTTAATTCTATAAAACATTGGGGCAAGAAAATAAACCAGATAACCTCTTGCAATCTCTTCTACTTTTTATTTAATTATAAATTGAATAATAAATCTACTATTTATTTGATGATAATATAAGCAACATGTATTGTAAGGGCTTAAGAAATAGTAAATAGTTCCTGAAATAATCTTCACTCTTGGTGTGTATAGAACCCCTTTCCCCAGTATTACATTGTGTTGAACTCCTCCTGTGAAGGAAATTACCTCACCTGTGAAGATGAAAAGCAAAGAGGAGAAAAAAAAAACACAATGAACTTAATGCTATATGGCAAATATACTGCTTAAATATACTGTCTTTTCTACCATGTATAGATGAATATGCAAATACCCACCTACATGTTGACATGGCAGTTTCCAGTCTGTTAACATCTGTGGGCTAGGAGAGACAATTTTTGAGTAGTGGAACTTTGCTGTGATGATTGAAGTTCAGCAGGACCTTGTAAAACTTCTCTAGAAGTTGTTTCATGCTTGTCTGTATAACCATATTCTAGACAGATCTGAAGTTACCTGCAGTTTTCTTGAGGGAGTAGATGAAATAAAGCCTTTCAGAAGCCTTTATATGATTCAAAGCAGCTATGTAAATTCATTATTTTAAGGATGAGTAGTGTCACTACTTTATTTGACAGTATTATTTGTTAGAAACTATTTTCATTCTGTAGAAGTAATTGTCTGAACATTTACATTTGTTTTTACAGCCAACATAGGTCACTACTAAAATACTGTGTCACTGACAGGTTTATAATTCTGCTGACACAGGCTGGCAGATAGACGAGCGTCTCCCATGGAATATAAACATAAATTTCAATGAATAAATAGAACAGTGCCTGTTAGTGCAGTCATCAAAAGAGAAAAGCCCCATAAGAAAATAACAGAAGGCTTTTGACCCTTTAAATTATAGCTCACTAGCTCACTGCTATAATCAACTGAGCTTCTTAGCACCGATGATGTTTTGACTGCTCCTGACATCATCTTGTGTGGTATTCACATCAAAATCCAAATGGAAGGTCAAATTGCTCCAAAAATTAAGTGGGTAATAGACCATCTGAATAGCCCAGGTTCTAGGTCAGAGAAAAACTTTTATGCTGTTCTGCAAGATTTTGAGTAGTGTATCTTTAGTGAATTATAGAAAAAGGATGATATATTTAAATATACTTCTGGGTGTTTTCTGTTTTATTTTTGTGATTGTTCAAATTTCTTATTCTAACTAGTCTCTTCAAGGTTTATTGCACAAATATTTAAGCAGTGAGGTTCCTTCATGTTATTAATTAGCACTCACTTTCTTGGGAGCATTTCACAGGCATGGGGTTAGAATTTTTCCCCACTGACGTTGTTAGGGGTAAACTGGGTAACCAGGTTATCTGCTGGTCTGACATCAACCAGTTTTTCCAGAGGGAAATATAGTCCCACTAAACTTTTAAAACATCTTTGAGCACTACTTACAGTAGTAACATCCTTTTCTTAAGTTTTAAAAGGAGGAAAAAGGATGAGCACAATCAAGGAGTTCAGCATATTAAAGTCAGTGAAGCTGATCCTGTCTATTGTGAAGTTAGCCTATTAGAACCAACATGATTTCCTCATTGTCAGAAGACAATTTCTGTTAGAACTAAGACTGAGTTCAGCAGTTCAAGACAATACTTTTTTTTTTTTTCTAAAGCAGAAAGGTGATCAAAACTGTTTATCAGGCGAAGTTGTCTGTCAGTCATTGCACCTTGCTTACATTTATACATAATATATTGTGTATATGTAGCTTCACGTACATAGGAAGCCTCTACTTAGCTACTTGTAAATGGATGGGAGGGTCTATTTCAGAGAATGAAATCCTCACATCTTAGACGATGTAATTTCCTTTTTTTTTTTTTTTTAATTAGCCAGGCATCAATGTGTGGTCCATTCCTAGATCCTAGCCTGCTTTAGGGCTCTGAGGTCATTACCACTTTGCATTAGCCATGTTCACTTACGACATTGTGATTAGCAATAGCTACGCTAAAATTTACTGGCATCCTTTCAGGCAACTGAAATGTGTGACTAAATATAACCAAGCTACATTTAAGCTAGCTAATTATGATAGTGATATGAGTCAACCTTTCAAATGTGAGACTCAGTCTGGGCTGCTGCCATCTTTCAATGACTGCCTTCCTCGCTTATAGCTGTGGCCCCAGCTGAGCTATCTGAATTACAGCTAGTTAGATGATGTTCACTAATGTTCCAAACATTACTCCTTTTAGAACCTGTTTTTACTTTCATTGATGGTCCCTTTACTGCTTGTACCATTCCTTATTCTCATACCTGTTATTTCTATTACTCCCATTACTATCTTTGAACCTTCAGTGAAGGACTCATCTATGTTGTCAGAACAGCAAACCAGGGAATTTCCATAACAAAAGACGTTTTTGTGAATCAGCTGCATTCAGCTTTTTACAATAAGCCTCTTCGAGCAGAGGAAAAACTCGTGGACTTGTTTGTTTGTTTTCCTTGCAGAAACTGTATAATTCAATGTTTGTAATGGTTCCAGTGATGAATTATTGGAACTTTCATAATAGATTCAATAATGTATGTAGGAAAGTCTTGTTTTTCCTTTAAACAGATTCAGCCTGTCAGCAGGAAATTTTTATAGTGTTAGTTCTTTGATTTCTCTATGTATGGTTGTGGGTTTTTTGTTTCTGTTTATCCATGTTTGTTTATTTTTATAGGAAAACTAAGTTTGCCTCTGGCTGAAATTTGTCATTGACACTTTGGCTTTTCAGTATTGACTGATATTTTTGAAAGGCATTGCACTGTTTATACTAGATTTCTTAAATATGAGCATCTTAAGTTGACTATTAGGTACAATGTGTGGGAGAGTTCTTGATAAAATTCAAGTAGAGTTGGGTAATTTATAATTGCTATAATAGCTGAAAACAGGTCTGAAAGCAATTTACTAATAATAGATTAATTCAGAGGTATAATCATCTATATTCATCAAGGAGAATTTATTTTCAGTTGAAATATTTTCCTTTAACAGCAACTCTTTGCTGTATTAGATTTTTTTTTTTTTTTCTTGGAGACTATTTACAATTGCTAGCATACCTTTTTTCTCATTCTCATTCAGCATTTACTCTGATGTTCTGTTAAACTTCTGCCTCTTCCTACTCTTATCTCTACTTTACCTCAGTTAATAGTTGTAAGTTAAGTCTAGGAAAAAAAAAACATTGGAGAAGGCAATGAGTACTGTGACACTACAAACTTCTTGAAGCAGACTTAAGCTACCTTGCAGAACAGATGCATTTCTTTAAGGGGAACACATTATGCTGAGAGTTGTAGTTAGTCTCTGGCAGAACTTGTAGTAATATGTGTATTTGAAAGTGTGTGTGTCTTGGAATGCAGTGCCTCATGCCATCATTTCCTGGCTTTTTTGTGTGGTGTTTGTAATGTGAACCTGAATGCTTCAGTATGTTTGTGTTGTTCTTTTTTGTAATAGCAAAACGTAGTCTGATGTACAGCTGCTGTAAGCATAGTTGCATAGTTCTAGTCAATTTTCTCTAGACTAATTTCAAATATCCTTTGTAATTTAGGAATAACACAAATGTATGCAGACTAACATCATTCTGGTCGGCTCTGCGTCTGGAGATGGGTTTACTGATGAAGCTTTCAGTCTTCATTCAAACAAAATTTCATTCTTGAATTCTGTGAGTTAAAGGCAGCAAGATATTTTGGGTGACAACTATGGCTAATTTTAGTGTTTATAATATTTTTTATTTTTCTCCCATTTATTATCCCTGTAGACTGAAATCATGGTTTTGTATTTAATGAGATATAATTTCTCAGTCCTTTTTGAGCAGTAGTATTTCTTTATTATATAAATATCTGCTTAAAAATGGGTGCACTGTAGGAGACCATATGAAGATATAATGTCCGACTTAAAATCAAACATAGTTTATCCAGAGGTTAAAGACAAAGTAAAGAGATCAGGTAGATGAGAAGAGAGGTGAATCCATCATACTTCCTGACCAGAGTTCTTCATACAGTGTTTAAACTCTAGGGATTAAAAACAAATAAAAAATACTTTCAGAGAACAAAGTGAGGTATCCACTTGCCTTCAGAGTAGGTAAAACAATTCCAAGCTCTGTAGTCCACTGCCAAAGTTAGGATATATTTTTGAACTCTCTAATCTCATGTTATGAGGTAACATAATGCAACCTTCTCCACTGTATTTTTATGGAGTATCACGGCCTTGTGGCTTAAAAGATTTCAAAAACTTTTCTCATTTTTCACTGACTGTGTATAATCAGGGCATGCTATTTTTCTGTTCAGAACTTTAATTACACATTTTATGTTCCTGATATAGGGCTATTGTGTAGATAACTTCTGTTTGAAGGAAGGAACTCTATTTTCATGCCTGGCCACTCTTACTAATTTGTAACTTTTTGTTGTTGTTGTTGTTTTTGTTTGTTTTGTTTTGTTTTTCCTGTTAAATTCAATGTTATAACACTTCTGAGTATTTAAATTTCTCACATAAAAATGATCATAGCAACAACTTCCAGACTTAGTGGTCAAAAAGTAAACTGAATCTAAGCAGTAATGTTGTGTTTCAGTAATAATATACAATAGGACATTAGGATCGTTTTATGGTTATTACACCCACAGATCTGCAGTAAGGTGAAAAATGAGACAGGAGATGAAAAGAAAATGCTTTCAGCAGCTATATGAGATTGGTTAATGCATAATAATTTTTTACTCTGGAATGGTTTATTCCTGAATATGATCAAATCTATGTTATAACATAGCATAATTTGTGAATAAATTAACCCAAACCCAGATACGCTCCACTTTCATAAGACCTGTGAAATTCTAGAACATCAAGTTTAAGCACTGTAGAATTCTCCTTGCTCATGCTGCTGCCATACCTTCCAGTTACAGCTTCCCTTGAGGCATTTTTTCTACCATGTAAATACCTCTTTGTAATAGCAACGTCTAATACAATTTCATCAACTAAATATTAAGGACTGATTGGAAATCACTATCAGCCTAATCAAAACCCCATTAATTTTCTGTTGGCTACAAGACTTGGATGAAGGAAGCTACAAGAAATATAAATAATTTACTGTGGAGACCAAGAACATTCTGACACTGCAAATTCAGGGCATATACAAGGGCTGACAGATTCCTCTACAGCACTCACAGTAGCTGTATTTAAAAAAAAATAAATAAAAAAATGGGGTTTTATGTTAAATGTTATATTGCACCAAGATTTATTGCACCAAAATTATTGTAAAGACATATATTGATCTGAAGGAAAGAAGAAGCTGGTCTTTAGTCTGTTCTGGTGGGATAGACCTCTAGCTCTGACCCTAATGATCCTGTACATTAAAAAAAAAAAAAAATAATAATGCAAAAACACATTACTTCATTACTCTCCCTTTAGATAGTTCATTTTGTAAGAAGCAATAATTACAGTCCCACTGGGGAGAGGGATAGTTTCCTGTATGTTCTGTGGACTGCCAGCACAATAGTTATCATGACCTTTAAACTGAAGGTTTTAGATTCTAACATATTAGAAATAATGAAATATATATACATATCACTAGATTGACTTTTCTGTTTAGCTTTCTCTAAACATTAAAAAAAATAATCTTAACAAATCTACATGTTTTTAAATTTCACATACACTAGCTTTCAGTAAGATGGAAGGTTTTTTTTTTTTTCAGAATTCACAAGGTGAATGATTTTCCGAAATTCTGACAGATATTAAGAAATACAATTTCATTTTGCATTTGTGATTTTTATTGAGCTACAGAATAAGAGTTATTTAAGCCACTGGTCTGGTAATCTGCTGACCTGAGATTAGTTTCTGGTATGCTCTGAACTATTTACATGATGATAAGTTATATCTCGTCTGTAAGAGTCAGTCTTAAAGCACTTCATTCCTTCTGTTGAAGATGACTGGTACATATATTGTACAAGTAAATAAAATAAATAAATACATGCAGTATCTAGGGTATCTGCTATATGAGTTAAAAACAAACAAAAATCAAAACCAGAAAGCATTGAAACTATTATTGTAGACTACATTGTTCTGTTACAATGAAATGTTTTGTAAATTGAAGTTCTCTTTCTCCAGAACTTCATTACTTCATTTGAAGAAAGCAAAAAAAGAAAGTTTCCCAATTGTTGACATAGGACTTTCCAAATTTTGTTTTAAATTTACTCTTTTTTTTTTTTTTAATTTATACTTGTTTGCCTTACACAAAAAGCTTGTGTTTTTGCATGGACTTTTTCTTGGCTGTTTGTTGGGTTGGGGACCTCAGTAATACTCCATTTCTATTCTGGTTTTATGAATCAAGAATTTGACACTCTCCACACATCTAACATCCAGTAAGCACTGGAATTAACTCAGACCCTTCTTTGTAAAGCCAAGTTTTTCTCTAATGCTACCCAACTTGTAGGCTATCTTGTAGACAAAATACTGCATCTTTCAAGTTCTCTCATCACTCAGTTGCACTGACAGCAAGTTTTTCTAAAATTCTTGAAAAGAATTATCACAAATACTGGTTTCTCATGAGAGTTCTTATTCAAAATGCTGGTGAAGCACAATCAGTAAATTGTAGATTTAATGAGAAGTACCCATTTTGATTCTTTGCATCATTGTAAATTGGGAATAATTTATTTAGCTCTTAATAAAGCATATTAAAAAGTAATGGGAAGTAGTGTTGTGTCAGAATGCTTGTGCAAAAGAAAGCTACTGGAAAGGCTAATTTGTAACAATCACGTCAAAACAACATGGAAATACTTTGGCATAGAAAATCTTTCTGTATAATACGTTCTCAATTATTTTAAAAATCCATTTTATTCTGATCCCCTTTATTTATTACCAAGTAGCTAACAGATGGAGCAATTTTTTCTGAAAGCAGTTTGAAAGAGATGTATTGTTCCACACACTGCAACTCCACTGATTTATAGCTTCTACAGCTCAGGAAGCATCTTCGGATGTGCTTCTCTAGTTCTGTTCAATGCAAGGGAAAAGGGTTTTCAGTGCAATCTCTCTTTTATGACATAACTTCTAAATGAAAGAACTACACAGTGAAACATTGTACCACCAGTCATTAACATATAAACAAATTTAAATCATCAGATATCGTGTTTTTACAAACACTGGTTTTAAAGCTTTTAGTTTTTTTTGTTTGTTTGTTTGTTTGTTTTTTAATTTTTATTTTTAAAATAAATCTAGCCCGAGGGAATGAAAGATTAAACACCAATTTAAACAAAGACTATTTTCTTGTGCCCATACAAGCAAACTGTATCAATATGAGGAAGTAGTCTCATGTTGTGCCAGGGGAGTTTTAGATTGCATATTAGAAAGCATTTCTTCACTGAGAGGGTGGTCAAGCATTGGAACAGGCTCCCCAGGGAAGTGATGGGGTATACGTCCCTGGAGGTATTTGAAAGACATATAAACATGGTCGTAAGAGGTGTGGTTTAATGGTAGGGTTTGGCAAGTCAGGTTGATGGTTGGGCTTGATCATCTTGAAGGTCTGTTCTAACCTAGATTTTTCTGTGATTCTATTCCTACGAATATCTGAATAGCTTCTGAGCTGTGTTATTTATAGATTCTCATACAAGCCTGTTTTTACTTAAATTTCCTCTTACTACTGAGATTTTTAGACTGTTACACCCAAACGAGTTCTGATAACACAGCTTTTATGTAGTATTTTATTTATTAGCAACACTGATTCTAGGCATGAGAAGTATTTTTTCAAACACTAATAACTGAGTTGCTACAAACATTATCACCTAGCAAGATAAAACTGAAGCAGAGGGATGAAGTCTTTGGCCTTAAGATGAAGGCAGTGAAAGAATGAGTATCTGTGTTTGGGAATTTTCATATATTAACTTTGAGTTATTGTTATTTCAAATTTAAGCCTCTCGTTCAATTAGAACTAATGGGACTGAGAAGTTATGTGAAATCACAGTGTTGTGGTTTAACCTGGCCAGCAGCTAAACACCACACAGCCGTTTGCTCACCCTCACAGAATCACAGAATTTCTAGGTCGGAAGAGACCTCAAGATCATCGAGTCCAACCTCTAACCTAACACTAACAGTCCCCACTAAACCATATCACTAAGTTCTACATCTAAACGTCTTTTGAAGACTTCCAGGGATGGTGACTCCACCACTTCCCTGGGCAGCCTGTTCCAGTGCCCTCCCCCCTCCCTCTCTGGGACAGGGGAGAGAAATGGAAAGTGAAGCCAGTGAGTTGAGATAAAGACAGTTTAATAAGACAGGAAAATAATTATAACAATAATAATTATTATAATAATACAATGATGATAATAGTACTACTACTAATAATATGTACAAACAAGTGATGCACAATGCAATTGCTCACCACCCGCTGACCGATGCCCAGCCTAACCCCGAGCAGTCTGGCCCCCTCCCCTGGCTAGCCACCCCTATATATTGTCTAGCATGACGTCAGATGGTATGGAATGCTCCTTTGGCTAGTTTGGGTCACCTGTCCTGGGTCTGTCCCCTCCCAGCTCTTGCTGCACCCCCAGCCTGCCCATTGGCAGGACGGAGCAAAAGGCTGAGATGTCCTTGGCTTAGTATAAGCACTGCTCTGCAACAATTAAAACATCGGGGTGTTATCAGCACTCTTCTCATCCTAAGCCAAAACACAGCATTCTATCAGCTACTAGGAAGAAAATTAACTCTGTTCTAACTGAAACCAGGACACACAGGAAGAATAATCTTCTTTAGAACCTTTGGTAATGAAGTAGAAGTATTTGTATATATGTTATGAGATTAACTTTCACTGTTATAATAGTGATGGAAAAGAGGAGGAACAAGTTACAGGGAGATATTTGGTGCAATATCTGGCTTCCCAGAAAACAGACCATTTATTTGCTAACAGACACTTCCAGGTTACACACTGAGTCACGTCCTTACCAGAAACTTGAGTATTTTCTGGTGGGGTAAATAACAATAAATGCATACATCCTTCCTGATGGATTGTATATGATGTTATCCTTGACTTTCTCAGTAAACAAGAGGCCTGTTGGAAAATCTGCTTTGGCCATGTGAAATGGAAGGTAGATGAATACTGATGTACAGAATGAACAAAGATTGTATAAGATAACTTAGGTGTTTCATTGTTAGAAAAATAAACAAGCCACAAACGTATCCATGAATATTATTTCATTAAGTATTGGAAATATACTACTGTGTAGAACTCAAGAATGTGCAGATGGCAAGAAAAAATAAAACATCACCTTTGTAATAAGGATATTGCCCATTGTACCAAACTGCTACTGTCTAAAATCATTTTGTGTTCTCCTGCCAATCCCATCTAATTTGCATTGAAAGAGGTTAAAAGATGATGACAGCTGTGCACAGTGTATCAGTGCATGAGAGAGAGAGAGTACACTTTGCAGTACATTTTGTCAAACTGCGATGTAGTACTGGCGCTGGTCCAGAAGCATGAAAAGTCCTGGCTTGACTTGAAAGGAAAGTAATAACTAAACTCTGTAAGGTAACAGAATAAATGTCATTGCTTTTATAATTGGTAATAGCTCCTGTATTATCATTATTATTGTAGCTCCTGTATTATCATTATTATTGTTGCTTTTGCTGTTTTTGTATATTAACAGACTACCTCAGGGCTGCTTATGACAGATGCTGCACATGTGCATACATAAATATGCCTATATGCACATATATAAGCAAAGACAGTACTGAGAACATGATTGGCTTAAGCAGCTATGATTTGGAGCAGATACACAATATGTAAGATGTGCCATGAGGGAAGGAATGGCATTTCTTCTTAGTAATCATTGTAGTGGCAGAATCACAGAATCACAGAATTTCTAGGTTGGAAGAGACCTCAAGATCATCGAGTCCAACCTCTGACCTAACGCTAACAGTCCCCACTAAACCATATCCCTAAGCTCTACATCTAAACGTCTTTTAAAGACTTCCAGGGATGGTGACTCCACCACCTCCCTGGGCAGCCTGTTCCAGTGTCTAACAACCCTTTCAGTAAAGAAGTTCTTCCTAACATCTAACCTAAAACTCCCCTGGCGCAACTTAAGCCCATTCCCCCTCGTCCTGTCACCAGTCACGTGGGAGAACAGACCAACCCCCACCTCACTACAGCCTCCTTTAAGGTATCTGTAGAGAGCAATAAGGTCGCCCTTGAGCCTCCTTTTTTTCCAGGCTGAACAATCACAGCTCCCTCAGCCACTCCTTGCAGACTTGTTCTCCAGACCCATCACCAGCTTTTTTGCCCTTCTCTGGACTCTCTCGAGCACCTCCATGTCCTTCTTGTAGCGAGGGGCCCAAAACTGAACACAGTACTCGAGGTGCGGCCTCACCAGAGCCGAGTACAGGGGGACGATCACCTCCCTA